GTAACCCCCCTCGTTTTATCTTAGATGGCCACTCACAAGCTTTTAAGACTCTAGATGCTACTCACCAAACTAGGATGTAGAAAGCTTTCTCCAAGTGCTCATCTTTGTGCACTGCATTATAGTTCTTTGTGAACTATATTATGCCAATTGACCAAGTTGTCTCGCAGTACTGTGGTCCTAAGTCTTCAAACTCAGAAATCTTATTCCATGAAGAGTTTGGTTATGTCTAAGAAATATTCGTTAACTGTGCCCCCATATGTTTTTTATATATGTGAACATATATGCATGCACACACATGTACATGCATATACATATGGCTACATGTATACACACATGTATATATGTATTTACACATATATATTTTTGTTGTTGTTGCAAAATTATATTTTTTCTAGCACTTACCAAAAATGTCCTTTGTTTGTACTTCTTAGCAACACCATTTACTTTGATCAAGCTGTATGCATTTTACCCACATTCAGTGTTACATTTTCCACTACCAAAAATAACAAGTGTCTACTATCTAAAAGTTTTTCCCCTCTTCCCACCCACTCCTTCCTGGTAACCAATGAACATTGGTTTCTCTGTGTATACTTTTTATTTTTTAAAAAATAAAGTGGGAATCATGCAATATTTATCCTTCTCTGATTGACTTATTTAACTTAGCATAATGTCCTCCAGATTTATCCACATTGTAAGATGTTTAAATTACTCATTATTCTTTATAGTTGCATAGTATTCCATTGCATCTACATACAATATTTTGCTTGTCCATTCATCTGTTAATGGACACTTAAGTTTCCATCTATTTGCTATTGTGAATAGTGTTGCAATGAACATAGGTGTGCATATATGTTTTCATGTCACTTCTATTAAGTCTCTAGGGTATATATTCCTAGGACTGGAATTGCTAGATCATAAAGTAGTTTCATTTCTAGATTTTTTTTAGGAAGTATCATACTGTTTCCCATAGCAGTTGTACCATTTTACAGTCCTGCCACCAGTGGATAAGGATTCTAATCTCCACACATCCTCACTAGCAATTGTTTTCTGTTTTTGTGATCAGTGTCATTTTAGCAGAGGTGAGATATTTTCTTGTTGTTTTGATTTGCATTTCTTTAATGGCTAAAGATTGGGAAAATTTTTTTATGTGTTTGTTGGCTGCTTTGATTTCCTTTTTTTTTTTTTTTGCTTTTATTATAAATAATAGTTTTCCAAAAAAACCAAACTCACTGTCATCGAGTCAATTCTGACTCATACGGACCCCCACTGGGTTTCAGAGACAATCTTTGCAGAAGTAGAGTGTCCCATCTTCCTTCTATGGAGTGACTGGTGGATTTGAACTGCCAGCCTTCTGGTTAGCAGTCAGATGCCTTAGGCACTGAGCCACCAGAGCTCTTTAAATAATAGCTTTATTGAGACATAATTTTCATACTCTAAAATTCACCCTTTTAAGGTACACAACTCCATGATTTTCTCATATATTCAGAATTGTACAGTTATCGCCACTATCTGATTTCATTTTTTGTTATTTTTCTTTTAAACTTTTTCTTGTGATTTGGCTGAAAGTTTACAGAGCAAATCAGTTTTCTGTTCAACAATTCACATATATTTTGTTTCATGTCATTGATTTCAATCCCCTCAGGGTAACATCATTCCTCCCTGTGTTTTTGGTTTCCATTCCTCCTTCTCTCCTAACCCTTGCTGCCTTCTGAACTTTGTCCTTGGGCAAGTGCTGCGCCATTGATCTTGAATGGTTGATTATTCTAAGGAGTGTCTACCTTCCACGAGTTATTGTTCGCCATGTAAACGTGTCTGTTAGACTGAAAAGTCAGCTAAGGGAGTGAGTTCAGTTCCAGGTCTAAAGAGTGATTAAGGGCCATAGTCTCAGGGATTCTACCAGACTCTATCTGACCAATAAGCCTGATTCTTTTTTTCTTATAAATAATTTTGAGTTTTGTTCCACTACCTCTCTATCCAGGACCTTCTTCTACTGTTATCCCTTTCAGAGCAGTCAGTAGTGGTAGCTAGGTACCATCTAGTTTTTCTGGTCTCAGCGTCGTGGAGGCTGAGGTTCACATGGTCCGTTAATCCTTTGGACTAATCGTTTCCATATGTCTTTTATTTTCTTCAGTCTTCTTTGCTCTGGATGGAGGGGGAGAAACCAATCGTTGCATCTGTGATGGCTGCTTGCAAGTTTTTCAGACCTCAGTCGTTATTCACTAAAGTAGGGTATAGAACA